GGAATTGTCTCGAGTCGAATTGACCTAACACCTTCTTGGCATTAGATCTAAATAATGTTTAGGTATCAACATTAATTAACCGTTAGTATTAAGGGTAACTTTTCTACTGTTTTCTAATTTTTAAGTGTCATCTTTCGAAACTACTGCTAACATTTTTGAGGGACTATCTCATTACACCACTGGCAGCGTTTCAGGAGCCACTCAGGCTTGTGACAAGTGTTTTTCAGTTACATTTCTAGTATCATGTTAGAAATATTTGGACATTATTTAAATCTTTCACAAATACTTTTATTACTTGAGGGTGTTTTAAAATGAGTTATACTCTCTTTCGTATAGTGAAAAAGATAATGAAACATTGTCTAGAACAATGTATTTCTTTTGTTGTGAAAAACATGCGTTCTCCATAACAATTCAAGAAAAGATGTTTTTTTTATGATGTCGATGTTGCTGTCTTGTACATAAACATGATTATTAAATTTCATTTACATTTCAATTTATTCATTTTACTTTAACTTGAAGAAATATTTACGACTTATATATTTTATCGAAAGAACTAGCGTATTGGTGTTATTTTAATGTCTGAAAAGCTTTTTTTTTCGAATCAATCTGTTTCCTGATAAGATATGGAAAGACATATTGTATGTATATGTTAAACATATGATTTAATTATTTTCGTAAATCCTCCAAGAAATTTATGTTCTTCATATAACTGGATAAGTTAGGAAACACACGTCAAACTGCTATATGACAAGAAAAGAGAGCATTGTAGAATAATATTGTTGTATACACTCTTTTTTTTTCTCTTTATCTCCTTCACCTAGTAATGGATGATCTCAACTTGTCTAATTCGTGCCTTTCTTCTTAGGATCACTAAACTTCTCAAATGATAAAGATGCAATAGAATAGAAGTGCAACGAATCAAAACGTCCAGGTTTGCCCATGGTCTTGGTTGCAATGATTCCCAGTTAATTATTATAAGGGAACAGAGATAAGCAAAAAAAAAGAAGAAGACCACGTTTCTTTCTAACAGATTTATACATACTGGAATGAGTACTCTAAGTTTGCGAGAGTACTAAATAGTGCGAAACTGAACTTTTTCTAGCTTTTATTTCGAATATGTTAACCATTTTAATGTGTCACATTCGAAAGCACTTCTTGAAAGCAATAGTTCGTCCCCACGCATAAAAGCTTTTCATCAAACTGTAAAATAAATTGGAATATAACTTTTGGAACCACTCAAAATAGATTCCACTACTGCTGCATGAAATGCGAATATCAGCAGTAAGTATAATTTTCTTCATTGTATTTATACTTCTAAAACGATCTGAAGAAGCTTTTCAGTGCAGTCCCACTCAGGCTAAAATGTGAAACTCACATATTACGCATCACTTAGATAGTCGCCTAAAAGAGTGTTGTATTATTTATTTAAAAGAATAAGTTTCGAAATTAGTTTAAGAATATGACGGCAAAAAAAAGTAATAGGTTAGTAGGTGAAATCGTTGAATTTCTTTCATTTAAATAGCTTATGAAGATTTTAAAAAATTTTCTAAGAAGAAGAATTTCTTGAGACTTGTTGTACAATAATATTGATAAGAAATATTTCATACTTCTATTTCTGATCTGGAAGTAAGAATGAGTTTGATTTTTGAAAATTGCTTATTCTTGTTAAAATTTTAATAAAAATAATATATGTGCTATTATTATTGAATTATACCTTTATTTCTATACAGAAACATATTTAATCTTCTTTGAACACAATGTCTGATGTGTTTTATATGTGCAATCATACGATATACTGGTTGCTATTGTGTGTCATAGTAGTATGTACTCGTGGCTAGCATCTCTAATAGGAAAACGATACGGTACTGTCGTTTCTATGATCTTGCATAGTGAAAATACAAATTTTGAAGGAAAACTATTCAAATTATGGCTAATTATAATGATATCTAATTCGCGAAAATACATTTTAATTACTGAAACGAGTAGGGTTGAACGCTAGTTATCGAACTATCCTAAAATTTTATCTAATTAGCGAAGGAAAATAAAATTTTTTTTACTCTTCATGTCTGCAACGGAGCGGTGGTGAGTCACAAAAAATGCCGCTTTGAAAACTTACAGTTACAATTTCGTTCGAAAATATATGTTCCATAAAAATAGACTACACGTGTTTAAAACTGTAGCTGCAGAATCGTGAATTTCTGCCTACTTTTAAACTTGTTCTGTCAGAGTGATTCAATTTAGAACAACATGTATGTTTATGACAAAAATTGCTTTTGGGTCGGTTGTTCCTCATGATCAAAATTTTCTCGCTTTATCCATTATCAATATTGTATGGCATCATTTTAGTAGCTTGATTTTGTTTTATAATTACAATACTGAATAAGTCGAAAGAGTCTTGAACGATGAATATTAATTCATGAAAGAATTAATAGTAACAATAGAGCATCTGAATATAGAAATGCACCACCGAACCTGAACTCGAGTCGTAAAACCGAACCGGAACCCCGAGACGAAGTTAGAGTTTTTGTTACATGTCTAATCAGGATTTTCTAATGTAGAAAATAACAATACTCTATAATCTAGAAGAAAATTACGATTATACTGAACAATTTAAAGTTCCACAGTACCAGGAACACTAAAAACATTCAAAAGAGTACTAGTATTTTTTACCGAGTAGAAGATATATCCAAAGTTCTTACTATTTTTCGCCACTTACCATCCCATAAAAAAATGATATACCAACAACATCATTTATACTGTGTTAAAGTACTACGATCAACACACAAATATTTCTTCATATAACTTGTCAGTTGTTACAGAGACTATGCCCAAAAACTCTCAAAAGTTCAACTCCAACAAGTTGACACAGGAGCCCACAGCTTACACAAGAGAATTGAATTAGCCTTAAAATGATGTTACCTTAATACTTACAGCAATCACTAAGTAACTGTCGTGTTAACAATGCCTAGGTATTACTAATGCCAATAACACTTAACAAATGAAGTTAAACAATTAACACTAACGTTTGGATATTAGCTTTTTTTTCAAACTTGCTATCAACGCGACAGCTCCAATCTGCATTCTACTCAATGGTATTCTGACATCAACACTCCAATCCGTAATATACCGATATCTACATGCTTATTCGATAGCGACATCTATATGCTTATTCTATAGCGACACCTATGTACTTATTCTATAGTGACACCTATGTACTTATTCTATAGCGACATCTACTAGCTTATTCTTTAGCGACATCTACGTACTAATTCTATAGCGACATCTATATGCTTATTCTATAGCGACACCTATGTACTTATTCCATAGCGACATCTACATGCTGACCTCATGCCTGTCAGATGCTACTGTCATCATCCAGGACCCAGATCCAGGCATCACGTCCAGGCACCATGTCTAGGCACCAGATCCAGGCATCACATCCAGGCATCACGTCTAGGCACCAGATCCAGGCATCACGTCTAGGCATCACATCCAGNAGGCATCACATCCATGTACCAGATCCAGGCATTCCGCAGACATGCCTCTACGGTTCAGGCTTGTTAACATAATTTAGAGTGATTCATGCTTGTTATGTTACGACATCTACTGCACCAATTTTATTCTATTCTTTTTCATTCTCCATTGCCGTGCAGTAGATTTGAACATATAGAATCATGCTTCTGTTTGTAGCCTATGGGAAATAAAATAGATTTTTCATGGTAATGTCCAATGAAAAGGGATTCACGTAAAGACAGAACTTAGTTGCTTTATGCAACACAGAATCTTGTTAGATTGTGTATATTACTAGTGATAAGCACGTAAGTATATAGCTATCGTACAACGTCACTAGTAGATGATTGAAGGATGTTGAGTAGTGGACCACTACTCCAACGTATACATACAATCTTCGGATTGGAACTGTCTATGTTTGCATCTTTGCCGCAATCTATTTATATATGAGAAGTTCTTCCTTTATGCGAACCAATGATCATTGCATGATATTAGCTAGGAAACAAAAATGATACCATTATTTTCTACATAACTACAATGATGACTATATGTGAGCCATAGAGGATATCTCTGAATTAAGAGACGAAGTCTGAGAACAAGTCCTAGAAGAATGAATCTTTCAATGATTCGCTTTATTGAAAGATTTCAAGAAGTCATTCTCGTGAATATCAATAAACATGAAATGTGTTGAAGGGTCCTATATGAATAGGTTATGGTTACGATCATGACTTTCAGAAAAGAAAAAAAAGAAAAAGAAAAGGTCAATAGGAAGGCGGTCCAGGTACATACATCTTAGATTCATAAAGGAGTTTGAATATAGAAGAAAATGATGCATGTACGTACACAGATGAAGAGTAAATATATGACACTATACAGGACAACGATATTTTTCAAATATCAATTATTTTTTGCTGAAAAGGTATTCTGATAGGCTGTCCTAACTCAATCCTTCTAGAGTTGCTGTATGGTGAATGATTATGAAATACCTTTCATTTGAAACTAGACAGATGATTGTATTCAATGCCTAGTGAAATGTTGTAAATCGTGTCGACGTGACCATGATGGGTCGTGGTAGCTCTGATGTATATGACTTTTGTTGCGAGTGATATACAAAGAATTTGTTTCTCGACTACCATTCTTTCTTTGGAATAATGATAGTTTGATTCATATTCTCTAAAGCCACCTGATGAGGCCCTTGAGCAAGGTCGAAACCCATAATTATTGTAACATATCTCATTAATAGATTTTGTTTCAATGATAAATCGTAAATTCACAGTATGTGAAAAATTGAGGGTCATTCATAACACGTAATAAAATAGAGATCAACATCTTCTATTTTCTTGTGGTGTTGTTGTTGTTTGTTGTTGTTGTTGTTGTTGTTGCTGTTGTTGTTGTTGTTGTGCTATGATGAAACTTGATAGTCTACAACATTTTGGAAATAATTGGTTTCTTTTGTTGTAGATTAAAGTTATAATCGTTCGTCTATCGTGATGCCAAAGAAAGTATCATTTAACACAAAAAGTGTTAAAAAAGGTAAATATTCTAACTTACCTCATTTGAGTGATATCCTAAGCCTTCATGACCTTCAATGTCCTTTGTTTTTTGCTTGTAGTTCAAGCAACAGTGGATCCAAAAGGATCCAATGGTAAAATTTCGCGCCGTCGGCGGGGTTCTCGTGGTAGCCAGCCACAACAGCAGCTACCCGAGAACGAAATCTTATTCAAAGTTCAGGAGATGCAGGAGCGGTTGAACTTTGAAATTCGTCAACAGGTTGCTCTATCAGAACGTATGGATACTATAGTACGGCTATATGTTAATGAAGAACGAGCGTTACAAAAAGTACGCCGACAAGTAGATGGACTAATAGATATGTCAAAAAAAGTTGATATATCATTGGACTTTGTTGTACAAGGTATAACAAAGGCACAACGACATATACAGAACCAGTGCCATCAAGATCATAACGTAGACGATGATGATGATGATAATGATGACATAAACAATCATCATCATTCATCAGAATAGTTTTTGTTTTGTTGTCGTTTTTATTGTTGTGACTGTAGTTCGTTTCTATTGTTGTGACTGTAGTTCGTTTCTATTGTTGTGACTGTAGTTCGTTTTTATTGTTGTGACTGTAGTTCGCTTTTATTGTTGTGACTGTAGTTCGTTTTTATTATTGTGTGTTTTCTGCGCGCGCTATCATCGTTGCTGTTTTTCAGCATCAATGATTATTTTTCTATGAAATAATCCTCAGTGAAATAATTCTCAGTGAAATAATCGCTATTCTTTTCCTGTTTTTTTTTCTTTGTTGTTGTTGTTGTTGTTGTTGTTGTTGTTGTGATATGTCCGACAAAAGCCAACCCTTCACTTCCACGTAGTGTCGGATGGAAACGTCAACTTGTTTGACGGCAAAGATGGGCTCTGGTAAAATATAATATTAAAGTCATTTTAAGACTTTAAATATTAAATAAACATTTTCTTTGGTTATTTACTTGAATAGCCATGAAAACGTTTATAAAGACGGTCTATTGTCTTCATTGGTTGATTGATTGCTTGTTTGATCGATCGATCGATCGATCGATTTGTTAGCGTTAATGTTGGATTACATTAACGTTAAACGATGATTAAGTTGCATCTTCTAGTCTAATCGGCCTAGGACAACTGTCGGGGATAGTAGAAGGTATGAGTTCGATTCCCATACAGGTCATCTTTTCCAAGTAGACTTGACCGATCTCCATCTGAAAATTAGGAAGAGTGTGGTAGTCTACATTAGAGGTGGGCCATTAACATTAATTTTGAAATTAATGTTTTCATTAATCATTAATATTAATGTTAATGTTTTCATTAAAATCAATGACTTAATATTAATGGTCAATGTTTTCATGAAAACATTAACATTAATATTAATGATTAATGAAAATATAATCCCTAATATTAACGAAAACATTACTATTCATACTAATGGTGAATGTTTCCGTTAACCGTTAATATCATTCAAGAACATTGACATTAATATTAATGATTAATGAAAACATCAATTTTAAAACTAATGTTAATGTTTTTCATTAATCATTAGTATTAATGAATTAAGTTTTTCTTAGAAAACATTAACCATTAAGATTAATGGCTAATGGAAGTCATTAATTAAGTTCCGTTAAAAAAAATGGTCCACTCCTAGTCTACATTTAGAAGAAGTATATATCGAATATGAGGACGATGAGGACGATGAGGACGATGATGATGATGATGATGATGCAGAGTAAGTTGTATCTTTCCTTCTATCAGACTATCTACATCTATCATGATATGTATGAGGACTTTGAGGCTACTTCTTCACTTTCTCTACACGTCATCATCATCAACTGCCAGACTAGTCATTTGGATATATATATCTGTATGCTTTTGTAATTGACTATTTGTCAATTGAAGTTTATTTTTTCCAAAAGAATGAAATGTTATATATATATATATATATATTCTATAGGTTATTTCCTTTTTTTGTCTTTCTTTCTTTCTTTCTTTCTTTCTTTCTTTCTTTGGGAGAAAGTTGTACATAAGACTCGTCTCTTTTTGATAGTCTAAATTTTATATTCTAGATACATTTCTATCTTTGAAAAAGATATGGCGTTTGTCGTTCCATCTGAATTGAATAAGAACGGAAAAGTAAGTTGAAATATTTTGGAAAAGATAGTTCATTTCTTTTCTTTTTTAACGAATATATAAATTGTATTATTTAACAGGTTCCGTCGTTTTCAAGGCGATTAATGAATTTGAGTTTGAATGGGTCCGTCAAAGATTCTTCATCGTCATCGTCACCATCGACAACAACAACATCAAAAACAGCAACGGCGACGGCAGCGATGGCGACGATGATGAAACCCGATGAACAGTCTCTTATCGAAGAGACTAACCATGGGTTAGAAAACAAAAATAAAAACGTTAAACATGGCGATATTTATATCGTATGCAGGTAACATTTTGAGATCTGTTTGCTTGTTTTTTATACTTCTTCTTCTTTTATCTATCGATTAGACTCCCACAACGACGTCGATTGAACTTATTCGGTTCTCCATCGAAATTCGATAGAGATCAAGATAAATCTGATGATCGTCATTATTCTCGATCATATGATGATTTTAATGATGATAACAATTACTATTATGATGATGATCATTACGGTATTTATGACGACGAAGACGATTATGATGAAGACGAAGACGAAGACGCTGCTGAAACTGATCGACTTATACATGAACTTTTTCTAGAGTGTGAGAAGGAACGATGGGCTAAGTTAGGTAGAAAGGTACCCGATAATTTTGTTAATCCATTTGAAATCGATGATTAATGAAGTTATACTCGTATCATTTCTTTTTTGTCTTCTTGTATATCTATTTGTAAATAAACTTTTGGTCTCCTGATGATGTTTTCTGGATAATACTAAAAGGTCTCTGTATAATGATACATTTCGTTGTTTATTTCTAGATATTAATCATTAAATTTGTGTAAAACAATACTGACATGAATGTCGATGATAAGAGACTTGTTCAATTGCTTCATCGACCAACAACATTAAGTTTAGTAAGTCGTCTCATTCGCCATTCACATTTTATATACTATAATCTATAGACGACACATCGATCTATAAATGTTGATACCAAGGAGCGAATACAAGCCATTGATTTATGTACACCACTTATGGATATCAAAGAAATTGTACTTTCACCGTCAAGATTTTCTGATCTTCAACAAAAACATTCTATATTGACTTGTTATCCAATCAATAGTCAACATGAACATGGTCCACCATTATTAACGAACATACCACGTACGTATAATAGAATAATATCTGTTTTGTTAGTTTTATTTCTATTTCTTTTTTTTATAATTATAGCACATCAACTGACTCGAACAGAGTTAGCATATCGACAATCGAATGATTTTCCATCAGCATTTCGTTTTGTCAATTATGATTCTATGATACCATCATTTCTACGTGAAAAGTATCAAATGTACTTTGTTGATCTACTTGAACGTTTGAAAGTTGATGTATCAATATTGGATTATAATTATATACGATTAAATAATTATATGAGATTGTTAATGTATGAACAAATTAAAGTATTTAATTCTCGACTCGATCAAATTCCACGAATCGAAGAACATGAATATCCACTTCTATTGGAATTCTTTTTACAATTTGATAGTAAGTTTTATTCTTCTTCGTTCTTTCGTTTTCAAAATCATACTTTTTCTAGTCAATCTATTCTATATGAAAACATGTACATTTCGTTATGCTCGACCTCGTACATTGGACGAAGGACTTTTTTGTTTACGAGAACCTGAAGCTCGTTATGAATTGGCTTCATGTGGTAATTGTGCATTATGTTATCCACAATATGATATGACATATCGTATTAAAAAAACGATTGTCGACTTTAATCAAGCTCATCAACATCAATTTGTCAATGGATATCGTGCTATTCTCAATTGCTCAGCGGTAAGTTTTCATTGATGAGTATAGAATTTCGATCTATGTTTTGTTCTTCTAGTCATGTCACACCCGAAATATTATCTATGTATTAACATGTCCATGTGGTAAATTTGATTATGTCGGTGCAACAACACAAAGTCTACATGATCGTCTCATAAGTATAGATATTTGTTTGTTTGTTTGTTTACTCCTTTATTTCTATCTCTATTTTCTTCTTACAATAGAACATCGTGAACATGGTAATCGAATCATGCATGAATTTTTACTTGGTGAAGCCAATATTGTACGTGATTTAACGCGTGCAAAATCAAAAGAGTATGTATTTACATTTGTTTTTTCTTCTTATTGTTTTGATCTCTATTTCTATTGCTTGGTAGGATTTCCACTAAAGATCATATGAAATTGTATCAACATTCTGTACGATGTCGTGTAGCTATGCAAATATTTCTGGATGCAAATCCACAATATTGGCGTTTTATACCGATGACATTGGAAGAAGCCGAAGCACTCGAACAACGATCTATTCATGGTCTTGGCCTACCAGAAGAACTCGATTGGAAATTACGATCGAGAGAGGATTGTAAACTGTATGTTGCATCAGTTCCTAAACCACCTCAAGATTATACATTTTCCAATCGTCAACAAGCATTACAATCGTTGTATTTTTATAAGAAACGAGACAAAACATTACCAAATCAATCGATCGATTTGTACAATGCTACTATTGTAGCTATTTTACCAGAATCGTGTTCAGAAATGTTTCGATTCACTGTTGAATCCTTATTTATTACTCATGCTGACACGAAACTCAATACAATTGGTCATATGTTGAATGAGAATTCAGTTGGTAATCATCATCATCCACTTTTTAATCCATGGTTAGATCGAGGTAATGAATGGTGTGAAGGATTACTAAGAAGACCTCAACCAAAATAAGACATTGTGATAGTAATGTATAGTTAGATCTATTTTAATTCTATTTTCTTTTTGTTATGCTTCTCTTTGTTTGTTGTATCCTTTTTTTTTTCTATTTATTGTATTTACTCTCATATAAATAAAAACAAAAAATTGTCTGATAACATCTAGCCTATATTTATGTATATGTATATCTGTATATATTCTAGATTATCATTTTTCCGTCCTACAGTGGATATGTCAACAGAATCAAAATTATCAGCAACATCTACACCAGCATCATCGAATAAAGGTGAACAAATCATCTCATCACCATCATCAACATCGAAATTTTATCATCGTCCTTCGAATGAATTACGTCATCTTGAATCGATATGGCATGATACAAATACATACGGTGTTCAACCACCACAAGTATATCGAACACCAATACAAGGTGTTCAATTCATAAATCGAATGCAACACGTACATATTAATCCTGATTCTAATGTATATACACGACCCTTACTACCAAACATTAGTTCATCAAATACAATAACGTTACAACACGAAGTATCAGCTGAAGATAGATTGGTTGAACGATTCAAAGATATAATTAATGAATTTCACAATCGTCCTTATCGTGAATATTCTTATGATACAAACATATATTGGAATATTGAACACTGCCACGAAATAAGATTTAATGTTATTATTTCGATAAAAAAACCGTGAGATTCGATGTAAACCACCTTTCATTAACTTACTGATCAAATGTATTAATAAAGAAGAAGGAGAAAAAAATACTACATTAAATATGTTTTGTTTTCATGTGAACAATAGAACATTCTACTTTCATGGAGAGTTCCATTATTTAATGTATATTCTAGATTATTAAAGTTACTTATTCATGCCTTCATCAAATCATCGATCATCGAGTACACGTCCATCACGAACTACATCTAATCGTTTACAAGTACATGTTGTTCGATCAGCTAGTGTACCTCAACGACAATTTATATTTATTCTTACAAATAATCCTGAACTATTACGACATACACAAGAATTACAACCACGGGTAAAATAGAAGAGATTTTTTCTATCAACTATTCTTTATTATGGAGATGATTTCATCTATTTTATTTATTTCATTCTAGCCTGCACAACCAAGACAAACAACAACAACATCAGCTCTGCGTCAAAATACCAACAATAATCAGAATCATCGTCCAACGACTGATACTCGTGAAGAAGTGCTGAATGATCTGTTACGTATTGAACTACGTGACGTAGCTCGTGATTATCTCACTCGAACACGTCGATCCTATCCAATTCATTATGTATTTGATATGACTGATATTGAACCACGACAGTCATAATCCTTCTTTTGTGTTATAATGTTTTCTTGTTTTCTTTTTCTCTTGTGACTTGATTGATTTATGTGAATTCATGGATAAATAAATCTACTAACTATGATGACTTTTCTATTCTAGATACTTTCCTATCATCATCATCATCATCATCATCATCATCCTTTACTTCTTTAATGGCCTCATCTAATAATCGATCACATATACATGATGAACTATTGACAAATGTCAGTCATCAATATTTTGTGATTACACTTACAAATTTTCCTGATTTTTTACATCGTACATCTCACTATCAACTACCAATCGATCAAGTAAGTTTAAAATAATCTTTTTTTTTAATATTATTATTCATTTAATTATAGCAATATATACAAGAACGTAATGATGTTGCATTGCTACCAAATAGACTAATTCATATGCAAATCGATGATTCTGAACATCATGAAAGATTGTTATACAATGAATTAATATTCGATTTAGGACAATCAATTCGAGTCTATCTTCAACGAACTCGACGTTCATATCCAATTAATATCGTTGTTGATCTAAGAAATATTCGTCGACAACGGTAAATCAATGATAAACCTCCTTGTTTTCCCTTTTTTCTTTCTGTTTTATATATATATATATATATTTTTGGAGTCTTATAGTTTTGAAATATATAGATGAAAATTGGACTCCATTTCCTATTTTCTAGATAACTATCATTCATACATACATGGAATTCAATCCAGAAGGATTGAGCCATTTTATTCGAAAATTATTTGTTAGACATTCGACAAATACGCAAGAGAGTGATGTCGAAGCAATGGGAATTACAAATTCAACTGGTACACATGAACAACGAACTGTAACACTTGATGATAATAATATTAATGGTGATACTCGTAATAGGAAACGATTCTGTTTGATTATATTCAATGATCCAACATTATCTGAACTTTTCAAAACAAAACCAGGAAAGGGACAAGAAAGAGTAAATATGCTATATTTGTTTTTTTTTTCAGTAAAAATATATTCTCTACTATCGTTTATCTTTAGATCAATCCAACACAACCACCACTAAATGCGACTAGCCGAATTTCAACAGCAACGACAACAGCTGAACAAGTAGAAGAAGAAGAAGATGATGATGACGTGGAGGAAGAAGAAGAAGAAGAAGAAGAAGAGAAGGACGAAAACAACGACAACAACGATGACGGTGATGAGAGTGACAGCACACGAAATATCGGTTTAAATCTTCGAATAAGTAGTAAATTACAAAAATTAGTGAATGAATTCATGAAACATCAACGCCTTCCATTATCCGGAAGATATTATCTTGATTTAACCAACCAATGATCATGTTACTATTATGTAACAAAAACAAAAAAGGAAAGAAACTTTTATATTTTTCCTATGTGTATATCACTATCTGTTTTTTGTTTTTTGTTTTGTTTTTTGAAAATCTATGAATAGATACAATTCAAAATAAAGCATTTAGTTAGGATCCATTGATATATATATATATATATATATATATATATAAATTGATTAACTTGACCTTTGTTTGTGATATTTTCAGATATATATATATAAAACATTGATTATTGAGCAAACGATTCATGACTGAAGCACTTAAAGTGACAAATTCAAATACAAATAATGATGTAAGTAGAAAAAAATTTTCTTTTTCTTCTTCTATTGATATTATTCTCATTACTAGTGGAATACGGACGAAGAATTCGATGATATTTTCAATATTTTCGACGACAACAAAGATACACTTGAATATACAGACGAAGAATTAAATAAATATTTCTATTCTGGTCATTTGTCTGCAATAGTATATGAAGAAGAAACAATAGATGACGATTCTTTAAAAGATGATGATGATGATGATGATGTTGTTGTTGTTGTTGAAGTAAAAAACTTTTTCAATAGAACATATATATATATATATATAACAATGTTTTTCCTATTCATTTAGACAATGCAACAAGAAGAAGAAGAAGATGATGATGATGATGATGATAATGGGATTCTATCACAAAAATTCAATCAATTATCGACGAATGCAGAGGATGACCAAATATCGCATGTTACTCGTAAACGTCGACGATCTAGTGTTGCATCATCAAGTCCACAAGAAGTTCATTTGAAGAAGGCAAAAATAATTATAGATGATGATGTTGGTGATAATATCAATGATCAGAATAGTGAACAAAACCGAATACCAATGTATTTATTAATGACAAATAGACGATTCCTTCATATGGCTCAAGCAATCACAAAATCAAATAGTTCTATTCATATCAATGATATACAACAATTAGCTGTATTAATGCATCGAATAGCAACGGTTCAAATAGATAGATATATGATGAAAGTCTATTTACATTCAGTACAAGGAACATTAAAAGAATCAAACTATATTCCCATTGAAATTGATCGACGTGTATGGCCTATACAAGTTCAATCATTAATGTTAACACATCACAAGTCAACAGCATCTATGGAAATTCATACAAAAGAAGAAGACGAACAAATGGTATGTGAACAACTTTTACATCAACATTTACAAGATATGAAAGAAAAAATTCAAGATTATGAACAACAATTAAATGTAAAGAAACAAACTTTAAACGATTTTACATCCAATGTAGAAGAAATAATTCAAAATTATGTACAAATATATGGCATTAAACCATTGAATTTGAAACGTGATTTAAACGTTGCCTTACTCAACTATCACTATGATTCAGAACTATTACAACGTCAATATCTACATGAACAACCCAATGAATATCAAGTAAGTGATTCTATCTATCTATCTATCTATCTATATATATATATATATATGTATGTATATAATTGCCTTTGATATATCTCTTAGATTCAAATTGCAAAAAGCATTTCAGATGCAAAACGTGAACTAGAAAAGGCACGAGGAGAATTAATAGAATTGAAATATCGTGTCTTTTATGATAAACCATTGGCTTCATTGGATTCTATTCAAGTATCAATTCCAAAAGTCGATGATAACAATGATCAACGATCCATGGACAAATATGAAAAAATAATTCATCGAAATAAACTTGATGCAATGGCTATTAAAATTGTAGGAGCAGAAACGAAATTTTATCAATGTTCAAAAGCATTCGATGATGAATTATCGACAATGTGGAAAAATCATCGTCAACTTGTCAAAAATAAAGGTATGCCAACCAGATTGTCTGACATTATTGATCAACGTTTAAAGATACTATCGGATCGGTGGCGAGATATCTCTATTTATCGAATTCGAAGTTTTTCTCGTCCTACATATTACAATGATATCGATCCAATAACTACAAATGAAACTAAACCCATGATAGAACGTATTGGATTTTCATCATCACTCATCATTGATACATCACATTCATTCATTAGAAAACAATTAAAAATATTAAATCGTGGACCTACGTATGTGCCACCTTGTCAATTATCAATATCATCTTTAAATCAATCGATCGATGATATTATCAAGAAGCAATATGCATCATTAAAACATCAATTAAATAATGTATTTTCAAAATATCATGTTAATATAGCATTATCGATGGAAATTCAACAGAAAATCAGTGATCAATTTACAAATCTGTTTTCTACATCCGTGCCTTCGAACCTTCAACAGCGTGGTCTTCGTGAAAAACATCTCGTTCAATCGATTCGATTTTTATTAAATAAACAAAATTTAATCTTACGTCGAACGGCTGACAACAAGAATACATTCTATTTGGGCAATCGTAAAGAATTCGAAGCAAAAGCAAATGATTATTTGATGAAATCAGATGATTATACAATTTTCGTACGTAACTATAAATCCAATGTAAGTCTACAAGAACATGTTGAATTAAAACAAATGATAGAATCAATGAATGAATTATTGGTACGATTAAAAAATCATAAATCAATCACTGATGATCTCTATCATCGTTTATTGATTGATGCAAGTAAAGTTAAATTATCTTATCTATACTTCTTACCAGATGTTTCACAAGTAAGTCTTTATCGATTACATATGAGTAATACTTGTTTTCTTTTTTTCTTCTTCTTCTTTTTACTATAGGATAATGAAATTTCAATGGTGCCTATGATAACATCAGAATCTAGTGCAACATGGAAAATTGGTAAATATTTAAATGATTTATTACGACCGTTTGTCAACAAAATTCTACAACCAACAGTCTTTCGTGATGAACCTGATTTTATACAAAAATTACATCAATATGTTTATACGGGCAAACGTCTTCAATCAACAACATTATTTTGTACGATTCAAATTTTGAATTACTATGCATTGGATCTACATCAAGAAATGATTGATACAGTGGGTTATTTCTTACAAGATAATTTGGTATCGAATAAACTTGGCACATTGACAATTCAAACAATTAAAAATCTATTACATATTTATCTCTATTATAATATATTCTATTATAAAAATCAAATTTATAAAATCGCCAAAGGAAGTCCAACGACAATGGCATTATCAGAAATATTATCAACTATTTATTTATTTGTATGGGAAAGTCGAATCACGAAAGAACTTCGTTCAAAAAATGAACTATTTGGAAGGTATAAGATCTATTCATCGTTGTGATAAATGAATCATGTCCCTTTTTTCATCATTCTAGATATAAAGATCAAATCTTTTTCACATGGAATAATTCAAATGAAAAAGAACTTCGTCGATTTTTACAAACAATACAAGATAAATATTCATCTGTTCGATTTCAACCACGCATTGGATCAACTGTACGATTTTTTAATGTACACATCGATAATTCGAAAGGTGAATTATCCACTCGAATCTATCATCAATCAATGACTAAAAAGTATTCGTTACCCTATGTAGTGGGTCATTCCAAACAAGCTCATAGTGATTGGCTTCGATCGGCTTTAATTCGTGCTGTTTGTTGTTGTTCTTCGGTCGATGATTTTCATCTTGAACTACTTACTCTTGAATTAGCTTATCTTAGCAATGGTTATTCATTACGATTTGTTGAATCTCATCTAGATAATTTCTTCGATTATTTTCATGCTTCTGAAATGCGATATTTAAAAGATCAAATTATCTATGATAAATTTCAAAAGAATTGGTTCGACTATATGCTTATGCAATATGAACTGACCGATAAACTTCAACAATTCAATGATAAAGGCCAATTGATTCAATTGCAATATCGTTATGAATATGGTCCACGATGTGAATTCAATCAACAATTTCATCAGCTTTGGTCCCAGTATTTTCATCGGCATCCAACTTTATCCAAAGAAAAAGTAAAAGTATTACTGACAACAAAACATCAATATTCATTAAATTCTCTTTTAACCGAAGAGAAGTTAGTGAATATAATTCAATGATAAACACAAATAGATGTAAACCTACTTGTATTGTTCGTTGTTGTTGTTTTTTATGTACTTTTCTAGTTCATTTCTATTTGATTAAAGTAAAAGAAATCAATGATGTACGATTCATCTTGTCTTTTCTATGTTGACATTCAAATAGACATAGAATAACTTGTATTTTTTTTTCATTTTCATTTAGATAAATTTTAGACATTCTTAACATCATCATTCTGAACTCTTCATAGTCATCTTCAATTAATAGTCAAATAAATGTAAGTCATTCATAGGTAGATTAGAAAAAAAAAGACTTTTTATTCTTCTCTATCTAGAACAAAATTATCTTCGTCAAATAATAGTATGTCAACCAATTCACACCCATATGATCAAGCAAAATTGATCGGTAATATGGATTGATTTCTCTAGTGTTTTAAATAGACGATAATTTCTTCTTGTTCTCCTTCTTCGTCTTAGATAATTCTTCAACAGAACAAGAAAATCATGACTGTATGCCTCAATTATTTATTCCAGTAAATTATTAACATATCTATGCAATAATATCATTCTATTTTTATCTTTTTGTTTTCTAGTCATCTCTACCATCAAATTATAGTCTAAGTCAACAGGTGACTCCAACAAATGAAGATCTACCATCTTTAGTTGATTTTCTAAGTTGCTATGTTCGACTTACACAATATCAGGTAAATACTGACTATCGATAGTTCAAAATCAGATGCTTTCATTCAATCACTCTTAACAATCATTTCATTTTAGGTCAATAATGACATCGATGTTATTAATGGAAAGGCTGAAGATGATCTTCAACTTCAACTAGAAGAATTGAAAAAAGAAGAAGAAGAAGAAGAAGAACATCCAAATACACAAGAATTAAAAGAAATCTTATCGTTATATGATTTAGGTTCATCTTTGGATGATAACCATCCAATGAATAGTATGATTATGACTGTTTTATCACAGTCTAAATCAGAAGAAAGTGACACAAAAGAGTAGTATCTATTCTCTGATCACGACTACGTATCATGTTGTTATTCCTTCTACTATTTCATTGTGAGCCCAATAAAACTTCTTCTTGTTTGTTTTGCTTCGTTTCATTGTCTGTGTCTACATGTATACATTGATTATTTTTCTACTTATAAATAGATGAAATTCATCTTTTTTTTTTGTCAACTATCTGATTCTATCTTCTCTCTAAATAGATCAATATCTACATTCGTGTTTTTCTTCTAGATATCTATACATTTTTTTATTATATTATACTTCAATGGCTGAAAACAATCATAATAACAACGTTCAGTTGAATAATGGTATCATGGATGTTGTTCAAGGAAATGGACCTGAACTAATTTCAACAACACAAGTATTCACTGTACAAGGGTCAAATTTGAAAGATCATAAAGAACAACGTCAGAAAAAGAAAAAATCACATGGCAATCGGAAAGAGCAACATAAGAGACGAAGACTTCTTCGTCGTCAACAACAACAACAACAAAACCATGCTAATAATAATGTTGAACATAATAGTGATATGGATCAAAATATCATTGATCAACGACAGCAAGATGAAGAACGAGAACTAATTCATGTAAGACCCATATTTTCTAAATAATACAGGCTATGTTAATATAGCTATTCTATTTAGGATGATCGAATGGCTAGTCAACAGCGAATAACAACAGAAAATAAACGTAAACGTCCAGGAAGTACAGATAACATCAATGTCAGTCGATCATTCAGTCAATTATCTATCATACAAAGAAATTCAAAGAAGAAAAAATCAACATCACGAAATAATCTATCGGATAATGATGCAGTACATGCAACAGCTAATGATAATCAACAACAACATCGTGATCACAATGTTGAAGATATGGATCATTCATCAGAAGAAAGTTATATGCAACAATTCAAACCTCGTTACTTACGAGTTTCTGATAAAATATTTAAACGAGTGTTATCGAATACAATAGACCAGGATAATAATATGGTAAAAAATCTAGATACTAAGGAGAAACTAGAACTCGTTCGACAAGTCACTGAAGCAACCAATAATTTATATTATTTTGATTTACAACGTCAACTATGGCAAGAATATTATGATATTGGTATGAAAGAAAATGTATGGGGACAAAAAATATCGAAATCTGCTGCTCAACAGCATCGTACATGTCGTGCCTCTGGTTTACCTCAATCCATCGTCGAACAACGTCAACAGACAATTGCACGACAACTTCAGCATGTTACCAATGAATTAAAGAATTGTACAATAAAATTAAATAACGATGCACAACACTGGCAACCACCAATGGATCCAACTATTCTATTAGATGCTATTAATGAATTAGTAAAACGTGCTCAACGAAGATTGAGACAAGAATTCGATTATAAAAAACAGATGTTAGTATTGGATTCAAATGATCATCATCTGATTACAAAATTTTATGAATTGAAACCCAATCAAGAACAGGTTTGTTATTTGAATCAATATAAGAAATTCTAATTTTCATATATATTTTCTTGTCTCTAGACACATCTTGCTAGAAAGATATGGCAAACAACAGCTGATCTTTTAAAAACAGAAGAACAAGTCGAAATTCTTCGTAAACGAATTTACTTACAACGATTACCAAGTGGAATTGATAAAATAATTAATCAATCTATTGCACCCATTCAACTTCTACTTTCAAATTGTGTTATTAATAAAGATCGTGGTGCTAGTTTATTGTCATCTTGTTCAAAAACAATTACACAATATAAATTTGATTTAATGGTGTTAAACATTGATATCATTCAAAGTACTGGACGTGGTCATCAACAATTACTGGATGATCTCAACGAGAAATTATCACAATTTTGTAATGAATCATTAATTGAAGCCATTGAAAATCGTCAACAAGCAATGAGAAAACGTCATGGAATCCAATTAAAACATAAATTACATTCTTTTTTCGACGAAGCTCCGACGACATCAAACGAATGAAGCAGTGTCGTCGTCGTCGGAGCAACATGTCAATTTATACCAAAATTACTGCTTCATTACCATTTATTGAAGTTGATTTAAATTTAACATCAAAACAAATGTCAATGTTTATCAAAGGTCTCAAATATGTAATACCATGTCAACGTCGATTTTCTCGTAAACCAATTGAACAAATGGTCAATGAACAATATCAAAATATATCAACGATAGTTAAAAATTGTTTAAAAGATCACTACATACCAACTACAGATATACGAGCAAAACAAGCATTTCAAGAATTAAAATGTCTCTTATCAGAATTATATTTAAAACCAATACCAAGAAAGCTGACTATTCGTGCAAAACGAGAATACAAGATCGTTCGAAGTATTCAACAATTTTTACATTGTCGAACCGATATTGTTATACGTCGTACAGATAAGAGTAAAGTATTTTATATTGGTAAAGCAATTGATTTTGAACGAAAAGCTGAAGAATATATGTTAAAAACTGAAGCATATCAAGAAATTACAAATGGTCGTAGTCCTCTATCGGATATTCTATGCGCTGTACAAACTTTACTCGAATATCTTGTCAGAAAACAAGCTTTAACTCCAAAACAACGAAATCAAATATCTCCAAAATTAAATCAATTAGAATTAGGTCATTATCATGGTTTACCAAAACCACATAAGGTATACAAAATTTAATTAGTTTAAAACTCTTCATATTCTTTTCATTCTTTTATAGCCTAATACACCGTTACGTCCGATTATTGCTTGCATAAATGGACCAACAACATTGATATCAAAATTTTTGAATGCTCTACTTGCACCCGTCTTTTTGACTGTTGTTCGTGAAACAACATTCATTAATGATATTGATGTCATTCGAAAATTAGAAAAATATGTTCTGGATGGTCTTTTTCAATCTACAACAAAATTTATTGTAATCGATGTAACTGACCTTTATACAATGATACCAAGAGAAGGTGCTATACTTGCATTATTACGATTTTTAGAAGAAAATTCTTATCAGGGAAAAATAGGTTCATTACAAATTGATAGTATTATGAGATTGGCTCGTCTTGTAATAGATAACAATTGTTTTGTTTATAATAACACATACTATAAACAAAGCCGTGGTGGAGCTATGGGTTCAGCATTTACACAAGTATTAGCGAATATCTACATGTATTATTGGGAACAAGATTTAATCAAATATACAACAGAGCATAAGGGAATATATGGAAGGTATGTCAAACATTTTTAAAATAAAAGTCCATTTGCTAGTACACATTCATCTTTTCTAGGTACATAGATGATATCTTCATGGCAACTAATCAAACAGCAATGGAAATTCAACAACAATTGAAAAAGATGATGAACAAAGATATTAACATTAAAATTACTTATGAAATCAATACATCAGTTAATTTTTTGGATATTACAATAACCAATGAAAATGGCCAATTAAAAACATCGATTTATCATAAACCAACAACTGAACCGTATATACTTCCATTTACATCCGATCATCCACGACATATTCATCGTAATATACCCTATGCTGCTTTAATGCGTGCAGCTCGTCTCTGTTCCAATGTTAATGATTTTAATTCTGAACAAATCCGCATTGATATGTCATTATTATTGAATAATTATCCACCAAAATTCATAAAAAGACAATTTCAACGATTCTTCACATCTAATGATGCCATGCCGGTATGGGAAAAATTAGACGAAGCTTTATATCGTCGATTACATCAACGCCTATTAGAACAACCAACTCGACGAGAAAAACTCCTGAAAAATATGTTAAAAGATCCAATTCGATCACCGACAGTATTACAAACAAAAGTATGGGACAAAAATATAATGTTTCCACGCTATCAATATGACGGTTCAACATCGAAAACCTTCAAAACCAAGTTTTACAAATGGTGGTTCACTAATTATGCTCTGAATGGCTCACCAGTAGAACAGGTCGAAATACGATTAGTACCGAACATAGATCGAACACTTGAAAAATTCTTCATCCACAAAAAACCAAAAAGAGAACTTCTTACTCGAATGGAAAAAACAAAACAACCATGGAACTGAACACGACGCCGAATTACCACTGAGTTCGAACTTAAACGTAATACTACTCTGCTACTTTCTTTTAACATACTGTAATTGCATTTCATTCTAATAAAAAAAAACATTCTATACACCCACACCAACAGAATCTTCATAATTTCCAGAATAAACTCTAATGTCGATACTCTCCGCAAATATTGATTAAATCATATCAAATTATATTCTAGATACCTCAAACTGTCACTCACCATCATTCAAACAAAAATACCAAATCATTCAAAACCTACAGGTAAACACATACGGTTTATATTTCTAATCATTTCAATGATTTTCTTTGTTTTCTATGTAGTAAAAGATTCTAAAGATACCTGATGATGGCTGGGTTAAGCTCCAGTCGAAACGCGTCGTATATACTGCTTTGAATCTATTATAATTGAGTGTATAACACACCCGACTATATCATAACTACGATTCGAACAAAATTGGTCATATATTGAACTAACTCCTGTCGAAGATAGTGACTATTGTTTCTTTTTGGCTATTTTCTTCTTTGAAAATTCCTTCATTGAAATAGGTTACTATTCATTCGAATTATAGGTTTTTGTTCAATGATCTTTTTTGTTTTCTATGTAGTAAAAGATTCTAAAGATACCTGATGATGGCTGGGTTAAGCTCCAGTCGAAACGCGTCGTATATACTGCTTTGAATCTATTATAATTGAGTGTATAACACACCCGACTATATCATAACTACGA